CGTCATGAACATCCCAAATAGTAAAATCCTAAAGTTCGCTCATTAAAATAATTTGTTTGTAACTTTTAAGTGCATCTAACTAATTCTATGACAATATTTAGTTACATTTTTCATATTTCAATCATTTATCTTAAAACTAAAAAATAATAATCTATGTTTAGTACTTAAATTTTTACTTAGAATGACTTTACAATCTTTAAAATCTCGACAATTTACTTTTTTCAAAAGAAAATAATTAATGTGTTTTATAAAATCCATTCTTATAAGTGCTAATATGCCCATATCTTTTCTTAATTAAAATATTAGCAATAACAAAATTATAAACTAAAAAAAGAAAAAATCCAATGACTAAGCCATCATCATTAGTCACTCCAAAACCATAGACACCATGAACGCTTCTAAAATTTTCAACCACTCTACTGACTGTTCATTTAAATCTCCTCCAATAATTTTTTTTTCCTTCAAGAAGTATCATTTGTATTAATTCTTCGACGTGATTTAAAATTTTTTTCTTTTATACAACATCCAAACCTAGTTGAAGAGCATTAACACATGTAAAATTAAAAACCATAGTATCAACAACAATCTTTAAAGTTATAATTTTATCTTTAGTTCTATTAATTTTTACAACATTATCTTTCAAACTCTTATCTATAATTACACATACACCATTTTTAATAAGAGTGATACCTGAATACTAAAGCTTACGAACCTAAGCTATCAATTCACAAAAAAATTCTCCAAATTTTATTTATCATGAGATGTCCAATTATGGGTCATCAGAGAGTAACCATATTTAAGACAACCTTCATTCTAGTGTTTGCAACAGTTATTGTATGTCCTATTGTCTTCTCTGAAACATTGAACTTGCACCTCATGATAACCAGGAGATTTTATCCTATGATCAAATTACCCAAGCACTTCCACTACTTTCAGGAAGCTTTCATATTTAACGGCATTCAGGGGAATCCAAGCATCATGCATATAAAGAAAAAATACTTGGACTGCTCTTTCTCCAATCTCCTTCTGAGAAACATCCATCTCTTTCTGCATTTTACCTTCTCATAGCTTCACCACCTCGACAAGATTTAGGGTAAAAAATAAATCCAAAGCTCCCTTAATCTTTGAATCCTTAATCGTAGACGTAGTTGAATTTTGACTAACAATATTCGATTTTAATAAATATTATCTTTTTAATGGTCCAGGCTATCTATCACATAAATATTATCATCTATCATCACAGCGAAGTCATCAGCTTCATTAATATTCTAGTATGTTATTCCATTGATTTGATCTTTTAGCTCATTAAATACTCTCTAATTTCATCTTTAACATGTGGATGGTTGTTACAAGCTTTAGCATTTCAAAAAACATTTCTAAAACCCCCACTAAATGTTGTTTGGGACGAGTAATTCCTCATTTTGTTATTTTGCCACAAAAAGGCATGTCACGCAGTTGTTATCACCTTCATTCATCAATATTGCATATTTCGGTGTCGGATCATTTATTAAATGAATTGACTTAGACATTCTCTTAAGAGCTTAGCTCAAATACATCCAACTTTTAAATAAGTTTGTCTAATGACATCCGAAAATTTTATTGGGTAGATAGAAATATGTATGGCTCATAGATTTCGGGAATCACGGCACTCTGTAATCATGCCATGATCATGAAATCCATTCTCCCAAAGCATGAATTTGAATCTTTTAGCTTTGGAGGTTGATCCACAAAAATGTTAAATCTTTTCCCTTTTCTCAGAAAGGTCTTCATGATTTGAGACCACTTTAGATGGTTTCTCACATTCAAGCGGAGGAATTAAGAAGGGGCCAGCAATCCTATAGAGAAGCACATGGATTGCAATTCGAGGGTCATAAAGAAAATGATCCAAAGGTACAAGGCCTTGATTCATGTGTCTTTAAATTCTCTGCTAGCATTAGAGAGTGAATGGGACCCACAACAGCAGAGAGAGAGAGAGAGAGAGATTTAACACCAACTCTGCGTATATTATTTTCTTGTTGCTCCCTAAGTAGAACACAGTGGACACAACAAGCATCTTGATTTGAATATTGATCCAAAATAGCTCCTGATGTTCCTGCTGCAGGCTGTGAGGATACATGTAATAGATTTTTGCTGATTCCGCATAGGCTATTTTGATTGCCATTTTGCTAGCTGCACTGGTTGTACAAGGTTGCTGGAATTGCTGGCTTGGTCGAATGGGATTTACTGCGACCCTTAAGATATCAAGAAGGAAAGTTTAAAGAGAGTGAATGTGACTGTTGAAATTTGGGATTATATTTATGGGGGGCAAAGAGAATAGAAAAAAGTCGTATATATGGAGATAATGAAATTATGTTTGTATGCAAGTCAATGGTCAGAAGAAGGCATAATATGAAGACAAAAAAATTGGGTTTTATCGGGGGGATTAAGTTAGTTAAATTTGAGAAAAAGGCTAACTTAGTTAACCGAACTAAGACCAAAACACTCTTAGGTTTGAGGGCTTCAAGATGCTAAGAGGCAATTCGAAAAGTGATTTGTAGCAAAAAATAACTGAAGATGAGAAACTAGAAACATATTACAAAATTATTAATGATAAAAGAAAAAAAGAACATACAATTCGGGAGTAAAAATTTGAAGTGCTCAATTATACAATTAATCACATCAAAATTAAATAAAGTTTTTAACTGAAGTAAGATTTTTTTTTTTTTTTTTTTGTAAAATACTTGTCCAATTTCATAATAAATTTGCATTATTTGATTAGGAAACAAATCAAAACAATAAGAAAAGAAAAAAATAAAAAATTGAAAAAAAAAGAAATTGTAAAATTGTAAGGCAGCTTCGTAATCCAAGGAATAAGACTTCCTATAAAATCAAATGATGAAGAATAAAATGGAAGCAAGACTGTCATGGTTGAACTCAAGGAATAAGAGGGAGAAAGAATAGGAACCTCAAAGATGTAGAAGGTTAAAACATAAGAGAAGCTCACTGTACATACTAAGATTTCTTTTCTATCCCAGCAAAGAGTGAAAAGAAATTCCAGCGAGAAGAGGACAATCAAAAAAGTTTTTTTAATTATTATTTTTTGTATAACTAATTTTATTTGTCATTGACGACCAAAGATGTTAAGAAACTCAAATATTCACTCATTTATAATAAAAATGAACTCATGTATCTACATTTTTTAACATATTTACGTACAACTCACACAATTCTCATGAAGTTTCATATCTAACACCAAAATTTTGATTTTAACATTTATAAATATCAAATCTTTCATATCACATCAAACATAATAAGATCACTACCTTCTAAAAAAATGAAATACACCTTTTCATGCATAGGTAAAGTGGTATAAATATAAATATTTAATTTTACGATTTAAGTATGTAAATATATAAGAATAGTTTAGACTGTATGTAAATCTTCCTAGTTAAAAGTATATAGAGAAAAAAAAATTTACAGTTAGAATCTTACACATTTTGAAATGACACAACAAACCTTATACAATTAGGAGTTTTTTTTTAAATTAACATGACACTTATAGACTTTCATATAAACATAAATTTCATTATAAAATGTAAACATACAAATTATAAAATGACAATGAAAATATAGTATAACATAACATGAGAATCTACACTAGCATTGTCATGTTTGAACATTCTTGTTTTGCACAACTTGATCAAATTTGGGTCATTTAGACCAAACGGTACACCATCTCAGGGTCTGTTTGGGGTAGCTGCAGTTTACTGAATAATCTGCTGATAAGCTAGGTGCGTCGGCTATTAGAAATTTTTATTTTTGTGGAAAAGTCAGACCGCACCCGGAAAGCTGCTATCGCACCTAAATAGGTGCGTTGTGAAAACGCAGGTTTCAGCGATTTGAAAACACAAGCTACCAAAACGCAGTTTATCCAAATAGGTCTGGTGTGTTTTCAAAATGCCACCGCACAAAATAAACTGCCCCAAACGAGCCGTTAGTCCACCCATATAGCTTGGCTATGTGATTAGCCAAAAAGTCGAATGTTTAGACCAATTTCAATGTCGAGAGAGTGATGGATAGAATTCCAACTTAGCAAAACGATTATAATTTATCTTTCTTTGCCAAGAGTTTGGGAGGGAGGGAGAGAGAGAGAGAGAGAGAAAGAGGGGGTTGGGGGTTGTAAGATGGTAGCTTCTTCAACTCAAAAAGTGAAAGGAAAAAGGGAGGAAAAGAGAGAGTCAAGTTTCATAGTTTTATTTTTGATCATCATCAATAAAAATACTAATCCAATACTTATAAAAATATTTATACATACTATGGGCTCCTAAATCAAATCTAAAAGTGTGTGACTAATGAAGAAAAACTTGAAGCATCTTTGTCACATGAAATAAAAATAAAACATAAAATAAGCATGTGTATAAGTATCATAACATAAAATAAAATAAACAAGATTACATAACACAAACATATAATACTAAATGACAATCTCATCAAAGAAAAATGGAAAATAATGGTTCTGAGAATCCCGCATCAAAGACCTCTAAAACATAAAGAAAAATCATCTAAGAAGTATAGAATATTTATAACTTAAATGTTGTTAGCTTTCTATGAAATATACTTTCAGAGGTACAAATTTAAAAAATTTCAATTTTACAGGCAGTTGCTAATTACCAAGTAATTTACATAATTGAAAGCGTTTCTAACAAAATTAAAAATAATTAAAAAAAAAACTAAACCCTAAAGTTGATTTTTATCAAGATTATTTACCATAACAAACTTTTAAAACACATTTCATTTGTCTATCAGTTGCTAACATTAGGGACGAAAGATTCTGTCTTTCAAAAAGCAGTTAAGTGGCAATCATGAACGTTGGATTAAATAAAATCTACTGCATAAACAGGATCGTAATCTCCATGACAAACAAAGAAGTGTTATTGTTATTAAAAAAAGGGGGATTCCCTATAGAATTCATTAAGTATAACAGAGTTACGGAACACAAATTTTATAAGACAAGAACAAACCTCTACTGTATGGGCAGTTGGGTTCTTCTCCATAAGACTAATTCTTGGAAAGGAAGCAAAATTGTTATTGTTTTGCGTGTGGTTTTTCTCATCAGCAGTAGCACAATAAACTTTCTCAGAAGCCATCAGTCGGCGTAGATCCTGCCCATTTTGATGTTCTTCTTTTTCCGTCAAGCTTGAAGGTTTCAAACACTTACTACTATTAGTACCTATCGTAGACATAGAAGCCACTTCATCCGTTATGTTCTGAACATCATTTACTCTTGTCTCCTCACCACATGCTTCTTCTGAATTCACCGCCTGTAATTCAGTAGCCTTATTTGCTGCATCAAGCAGCGTGTTCTGCAACATTCTTCGAAGATCAAGGTAACTTTCTTTCAAGGCCTGCTCATCATCGACGTCTGACCGAACCAAAATGGCAAATTCTTAGGGTAAACATCAATCCATAGTGCCAACAAATATATGGGCAAAAAAAAAAAAATGCAAAACAACATCATGTATTTTGCTAACTTTCAGAATTATGATGGGCATAGTGCAAAAGTTTTCCGCAATTTATGTGAAAGAGTAGGTGCAAATAAACCAAACACCATAATAATCAATCAAGTATACATCGGGAAATATGGAGTGTATAAAAAAAAGTTGGAGTCACTACCAATATGTATAATGGAACACTTATTAGTGCTATAAATAATTGTAGACCGGCTTTCCCAATCGAAGGAAAATTACGTTAAAGATCAACATTAATTGTCTTTTTCTTATTCATTACGGGCATGCTAACAAAAGATAACAGTGAGGTAATTTAGCATGTGTTTTTTGCATAAAAAAAATTTAATTTATGAAGCATTAATTTAGACAAGAGGAAAGTTATTACTTCAAAAAAACTATTTAGAAGATGAGATGCAATGTTTATAAATAAAAATAAATATACAAAGGTATTAGGTAGCTTGAATTTATTCTATAGAATCAATATAAGAATGGGGATATAACTCCTAAGGCTAGAGTTGGGTGGTTAAGATAAAGTGTCATAGGAATATTATGCAATAAAGAGAATATCATGGAGATTTCAAGATACAACAATAACAACAACAGCAAGAACAACAATAACAAGCCTTTATCCCACTAAGTGGGTTTGGCTACATGAATCATTTCTCCATTGCGTTCTATAGAGTGTCATATTTTCATTTAATTCTAATACATTTAGATCATTTTTTATACAATATGCCAAAGTCTTTCTAGGCCTACCTCTGCCTTTCTTAACATAAGTCGGGATCAAGAACGTCTAATCTCCTAACCAGAACATCAGAGGATCGACTTTTAATGGAGATTTCAAGATTTTTTATATAAAATTGCAATTACTTGCCTATGTTATGGCATGTCAACATTAAGCATTAAATAAAGCATTGATAGCAAAGTTGAGAGTGACATTACTGGAAATGTTAAGAGGGATGTGTGGTTGAACAAGGAGGCATAGATTGAGAAATACTTATGCAAATAAGACAATGAGAATGCATCAACTGAAGATAAGATACTATAAAATAGACTTAAGTAGCCATACAAAAAGACAAGTAAATAAAATTAATATCAAAGGCTTAGAAGGAAAGAGAAGTAGACCAAAGATAATACAAATAAAAATTGTCCACGAAAATTCATCTGCAATAGGCTTGACATCATGCAATATAGAACTTGAATAGAGAATGAGAATTATTAAAGTTAATGCCAAAATAAAGCTAATAAAAAGGATGATATCATGCTCAAATGACTATTGGTTCATAATCAACACTAATTTATTAAAAAATAACAGCACAAAAGGGCATCAAACAAAAGGATGATACCATTTACTAGCTACATTAGTTGAGAGTAGGCACTGAAGTATTCCACAAATCATGGAATGTGATAAAAGAGAATTTTCATTTTAGCGAGCAAAATACATTGTTTCGGTGAGGCTTTATCTTAGGGATGGTCTGTTTTGCCTCCATGCTTGTAAATGATTGGGACTCAACACTAGAAATCAGGCATTTGAGTGGTCAAAAATAAACTTTGATGTTTGAAAAAAACCTTTATAAAGTTAAAAAGTGAGTTTCAATTATTAAGGCTAGAAATTTGACTTCAAATTTATTTCTTTTTGATAATAATAATACTAGTAATAATACATAAAATTAATAGAATGACAGGTTAAAGTTTTCTTTTACTTGAGATAACAAACAAGATAGAGAAGACTGTAAAGGGATTTGTAAAACAAAATTCACTAGTAAGCAAGCAAATGATAAAACAAAGTTAGGAAGAAATGATTTCTTGAAAGATAAACTCACTTAATGTTCGAGTAATTCAAAACAATGAAAATGGATCAGATTAACCCTACGGTAATAAAACTAAAGCAAAAAGAACCAACTTGCCAGCATTCAGCAGCTGAGAAGAACGCTTGCTGATTTCCAAGCCTCTGTCCTGGTCCAACTGACCATTAGACTCAGAATCAGAAGCGATGATAGGTTCAGCAATTCCATTTTGTGCTTTCATACCCTCTTCAGTTACAAGACGTTCCAACTTAGTATTCGGAACACAACCAAACGTCTGATTCCTCAAACCTGACGGTCCTTTTCTGGGCTTCATTCTCTCTCCCGGAATTCTCAAAGCTCCATCAATCTCATCTGCAGCCACCTCAGGAAACAAAGGCTTCATGTCCCACACCTCCTCAAGATAATCCCGAACCAGATCTAGCGTCTCCTCCAAATCAATATTAGCTACCAAAGGCCGAAGCTTTGGATCCTTCACAACCTCCCAAAAAATATCCCTCACTTCCCGAAGCTCCTCAGAAATCAATGCAGCCGCCGCTGACTTCTCAACGTCGCAGATGCGCAGCACCCATATCCGATGGAAGGAATCAAGGAAATCATCCACGTTCTGATGAAGGGCGGTAGCGGTGCACGACGATGCAACGGCACAGTAAGCGGCCTTCATGACCTCAGAAGGGGGGCAATGGCTATTCTTGCGGTCGAGCTCCTCAATGAGCTCGAGGATTCTTAGGGTTTCCTCAGAGACAGAGCGGAGCACTAACTCTGAGGCAAGCCGCCTCAAAAGTGTATCCTTTTTGAGGCTGAATGAAATAGGATTGGGAAGGGGAAGGGCGAGGAAGGCCGCATTTACGACATATTCGGGAATCATTCTCTGCCTCACGAAGAAATGTAGGATCGAAGAAGCAGTGTCGTTTTCCAGCGTCTGGAGGTAGCGAACGTCGAAGCAGTTGGCTCCACCGGTGATGTTGGCCGCGAAGCGGGGTGAGGGTTGTGAGTTTTGGGGTTCGGGAACGGGAAAATTAGCCATATTGTCAGGGAAGATGAGCAGTGGGGCTTCTTGCACTGCAAATAAAAATGGGTGTTTTTTATTTTTTTACGGGCACTCACATATTCATGTTCTTTAAAATAAAAAAAGATTATGCGCATATAAAATATCTTTTATATATTAAAAAAATAGAGATAATTAAGATCAATTCACTGAGAATTTGATAAAAATAAAAATATGGGATATTATTTTATGATGATTTGTGATATTTGAGTGAATATTTGAAAAATGGATAAAAAGGGTTTGCAAATAGTAATGTTCCAGGTGCTATATGTTTTTGCCCCCAAAAAAGTAGTTGTAAAAATTTTAGACCTCTAAACTAAATACAAAATCTACAAAATTTAAAGGAAAGAAGAATTCCAATAAAAAGAGATAAGAAAACAATTGCTCTCATGATAGGTGACTCCATCCAAAGTTACAAATGATAATAGTATATGACGTAGAAAAGACACGTGTTTGAAGTACCTCTTCATAACTGAGAGAAGGAAAAATATCCAAAAAACACTTAACTCTTAGTTAGGGGGTGTAAACGAGCTGAGCTTAAACAAGCTAAGGCTTAATAGTATTCAGCTCGTTTTAAAATAACAGTGTTCATGTTCCGCTCGTGTTTGAATCAACTAGTGAACATTCTGTTCTTGTTCAATTCAGTTGATTTTTGGTTGTTCGTATTTGACTCATTTTAGAATTTTCAGAAAAAAAATTATTTTGAAATTTTATTTTGAAATTATTTAAAAAGTGAAAATTTTTCCTAAAAAAATTTGCTTAAAACATTTTTTTGAATCAAGAAATTTATTTTCTTTAAACATTTAAGATAAATAATAGATTTACATCTCCAAGTATGTATTAAGTTTTTTCGAGGATAAATTGTGTACTAATGTTTTGAAATAATAAAAAAAAGATGACAAATTAACAATTACAAAAGAACAGGTATTACATAAAAAAATGCATTATTTCATTACGATGATCACAATAAAATAAATTATAGTAGGAAAAATATTATGTAATTTTAAGTAAAAAAAGTACAATAGAACAAGTAATGATAACTTACCAATTTATTGTACCTTTACACTACATTATACATATTTACATCTTTAAAATAAAAAAAAATGAAAAAAAATTAGGAAAATGATTCTCTTCTTGTATAATCTACAATTTGATGAGCCAATAAATTTATGCACAATATGTTTGTAAATTTGTACAACCTAAACATTTTATGAAAATGAAAAAAAAAATCAAATCAGAAAAGAAGCCCGTTGACCTTAATTTTCGGTCAACCCTTTTCCTGGCTTGTATTTAGTTTAGTCTCACGCGAGCTAAATCTTGAGCAAACCCTAATTTAATAAAACTAAAATATAACAGACAAAAATAAAAATAACAACCAAACTAAAACAAACGTAAACTAATCAACTTCAGTCAAACCCTAAAATTGACCCAAAAATTCGTCCAATTAACAAAAACATTGAAATTACCATTTTCTCTCCAGGTTATCGTAGGGCTTGAAACTTTGTTATGAAAGTTGCATGTCGTTTATTATTATATATAAAGATCTTGTAAACAAGTTTGATGATCATATGATACAATTTTATTAAAATTTTTCAATTCAAATTTCATGCTTGAATTACTCCATAGACCAATCTACTGATTGGAATTACATTACGTAAGTTACAAAATGTTCGTAATCACATATGAGGAGCATGAAAACTAGTTTGGTGGTCACCAAATATCGTTTTTATATAAATTTTACACTTAGAGTATCTATGCATGAACAATGGACATAGATAAAAATTTTTCAAAGAATCATTATTTTCCAAAATAGAGTTTGCTAGTGCATCATGATCGTCATATCTTTCAAATGAACATTTTCATGCCCAAATCCGACTCCATTTAAAGGCCCATTCAGCTTATGATAATTTTGATAATAAAAAAATAGTTTTAAAAGACCAACTCAAAATGGAATCTAGTTGAAATCAAACTTCAACCAAACTAAATATGAGCTACAAGCACTTAATTTAATTCATTTAAATTAACCAAAAGTTCCAACTCAAACTTCACCCAAATTCTCTTAAGGTGTGGCCCAAAATTTAACCTGAAATATCCTGAGATGAATCACATTTTGATCAAAACCAATTGCACCACTGAATTCCTTGTATTTTCTCTAATAAATGAGCCCAAGTAGAAATTTCTAGTCATAATAATCACATCAACCTTCTAACCACCTAGTCATTACAACTCGATATATTTTAGGCTACAGTCCTCATTTTTCAAAATGGATTAAACAATTAGATTCCTTCTTTCATTCTCTTCAAATTGAGTTACACTTGCATTTCTCTCCCTAACCACCATAAGTACTCATTTTGAAATTAAAAAATTCCCCACGAAATTTAGGTTCCCCTCTAATCCCTTAACCACTCCATCCCTTTTTATTCCTCTAAATCTTCCTTTTAACTTCCTCCCTCATTCCAAAATTGAGCCCCTACTCTCATTCGCTCCTCTCTAGACCAAAATCCTTATTCCCTCTCCCTCTCCTCTCCTCTCCCCATCCAAAACCGAGAGCCTTCCCTTCTTGCTCCCCTCTCCCTCACCTCTCTTGTTCCCATTCAAATCAAGAGCACTAAAGAACTTAGGAGGTTCATCCAAGACAAGGAGAATCCATCATCCAAGTAGGTCAATCAAGCATCATCGAAGCAAAGTAAAGAATTTTCAATTATCTATTTTTTTTTCCATAGACTTTGCATGATGTAGACCATAAGGAAGTTTTATTTCCTTTCTCCCTCTCTCCTTTCTCATCAAAACTAAACATTATCCCTCCTTCTCTTCCACTTTCCCCTCATGTCCCCAACTCATCTCCTTCCCATTTCTCACCAAAAACACATCCCTATCTCCCCTCTCCCACATTTTCCCTCATGGTTGAAATATATAACCACTCACTCACCCTCCTTTCCTTATGCAGCTTAAAAACCCATCAAGTCATTCAGTCATGCTCCTTAACTTATTGACCCGATCTGCAATTACGCAGTAATTTAACTTCCAAAAAATGACAAAAAACTTAACACAATTTATATTTAGTGGCAAGTGCGCAAAATTAATATGTTATAAAATTTAGAATTTTTTATTAATAGTTTACAAACTAGGAGTACTATGCAAGTAAACGTATCGTTTCAAATAATATAGGATTTTCTTTAAAACCCTTAGTTTTGATTCTACAAAGATGTGAGGTAAGAAATCTCTAGTCTAATTCTAGTCTACTAATATCATATCTTAGTTTGGAAGTTTTGAAAAGTTTGATTTTCCTAAATTCATTAATTTATGTTAAAAATATAATTAACTAAATTAAATAAAAACAAAATCTAAAGAGACTGGTTAAATTTTAGAAAGTTCTTATGTAATTAAAATCCCTTTCCCCTTGCGCTGAGATCATAATTAGAGTAGGAATAGAATATTTAAAGGTTAAAATGTGATATTTTGACAAATAGGGGCATACTCATTCTTTACCCTCTCTCGGTGCATACAAAGAACATTGGCTAATCTTAAGTTTTTTCAACTTCTGTAGTAGTTATGAGTAGATTCTAGCCTCTCACTTCTAGATTACCCACTGAGCCCTCTCTATAAGACCTACTAGAGACCCTTATATCCAAACTCAAGACTGAATTAATAAAAGAATCTTGTCTGCCACTCTAAAAACATCAAATCTAAATCCATCAAAACTTAACTCTCTATTTTTTTGCACTTGCCTTAGATTTTGGTCACCCTCCTCGTAAGGTTAGTGTAGCATTGACAAGTTGGGTGAATTCATAGCTCTCCCGGGTCATTATGTTTCACAATAGATTATAACCTCACAAGTGATCAGTTTGCAAAGTAAATTAAGAACTGGTAAAAATATCATCTCAATTTTGGTATACAAGAAATCTTCAAACCATTCTAATCCTACACATGATTAAATTTCATCATAAGGAGAAAGAGTAAGGAAAACTACTCACTAAGCATGTAGAAAACATAACAGAAAACTTCGTTTAAGTCAAAGCAAATTCACTAGAAAAGTGTTTACAACAATTATAAGATAGTGAAGAATACAATACTTAGCTTTATTACTCTGAAAGAAAGATAAAAATCTCTCTAACAAAGTCTCCTGTTGATCCACACAAAGTTTTTGCAATTCCTTTCAGATATCTCTCAATATTCCTCACCAATTTCTCTAGCCTACTCCTATCTATGATTTCTAGACATTCTTGGAAGTTTCAAGAGTTTCAAATGCTAAAAGGTGCCTTCCCAAGTCCCCAAAAGGGGCCTTATAACTCCAAAAATTGAGCAAAAATTGCCCAAAATGGTTTCTAGCGCCTAAGCATTAGTTCGGGCACGTTGGCGTCGGTTCAGATGCGTGGGCGTTGATCCCGACTTATATAAATCAATGCAATGTATGCAATTATATTTTTAATTTTTGCTTACTTATAATTCTTACTTTGCGACGGCGCCAAAAACTTGATCACCAGCAACAGCTATGGAAAAACTTGAATTCGAAGCAAATAAGAATACAATTACTATATTTAAATATAGGATACTATGCAAGTATACTATCGTTATCGAGTAATATAAAACTTTTTGATTAAGTCCCAAATATCGAACCCACAGGGACAATTAACAATATGGAACTAAAATCAGAAGAAATTAGATAACAAATTCTACTTAGCAAATTATTCTTACACAAACTATAGATGTTATAATAGGATTTAAAATTTGATTTTTTGTAATTTTTTATAATTGAAAGTAAAGTAGACAACTAACTAACTTTAAGTAGATATTTGTAAGATGAAGGAAATATAAATAAAATATTTTTTTCCTTATCATGAATCAGTAACAAGTATAATAATTATGTTGTGGAAGCATTCAAATTTTATTGTGCCAAATAGGAGCAATAGGAGCAATAATATGCAATAATATTTTTTTACCCTTACTAGAGATGTTATAAAGAACATTAACTAATTTAAAGTTTGAATAGCCTTAAAGATGGGTTAGATATAGAAGATACTAGCTCTCACTCTAGATT